TAGTCTATGAATGGGCTTTGGGAGCACATTCCCTATGGAGGGATTACTCTCTCAGCCCAGATACACGGGGGAGGGCCTAGGTCCGGCCCCAAACAGTATGTCAGACATTGATGATACCTCTTGGGAGGCCTTACCCTTCCTGGGGAGTGGATGGGGGTGGGATGAGCAGATTGGTAGGGACCATGGAGGGTGGGAGGGAGAGGGAATTGGGATTGGTATAAAAAATAAGATTGTTTTTAATTTAAATGAAAATTAATTTAAAAATTTTAGAAAAGAAATAATCCTAGCACATGGAACTGGTTTTATTTTCTTTTGAGTGCCATTTCTCCTCAGGAGTCTACTTGACATGTTTCCTATTCTTCTAATATTGCTTAGAATAGTCAAACATTTATAAATTAATGTAATGCACTTTAATTCCTATTTGTTGTAGCTGAATTAATTTTAATATACTTTAGGGCTCCATGGGTATATATATATATGTAAAACCCGGGGATCATTGAAAATTATTGCTGATATTTACTTAATGTACATTTATTAATATTAAAGAATGTTGGCCGGGTGTTGGTGGTGTACGCCTTTAATCCCAGCACTTGGGAGGCAGAGGCAGGTGGATCTCTGTGAGTTTGAGGCCAGCCTGGTCCCCAGAGCGAGTGCCAGGATAGGCTCCAAAGCTACACAGAGAAACCCTGTCTCGAAAACCCCCTCCCCAAAAGAATGTAAAACTCAGAACATATAAAATGTCCTTTTCTTTTTTTCTAGTCTTAAAAATGTATTTACTAAAGCCTTTTGCCAACCTCATTTAGAAACACATTCAATTCTTGAGTAATCTCCTTTATTTATAAGCTCTCAGTTATGCCTGTTGACTTAAATAACTTACTAAAGCCACAATATTGCCAGCTTCAAGAACTACCTTTGTAGCCCATGGAGAACAAATCTGCCTTGATCCTTCAAACACAAAGCTTGCGGTTCCTCCCATTACACCACTCCACATAATAACTCTCTAAAGTTATGTATTTAAAATGGGAATAAGATACACACAGAAGTAAGTTCCAAAAAGAAAACAAAGACAAAATTGGAGAGAGAGAAAAAACACTTTTTAAATAGGGATAGAGCAGTGATGAGGGAAGGTTTTTAACTCTAGTGGGGAAAATGATAATTCTCATGCCTTTTGATTTGTTTAATTTCAATGTCCATAATTATGGGTTTCTATTATGTAATTTAAAATTCTGTTGCCTATTCAATTGAGGGTTTATTTTCTAATTTTACCTATTAGGAGACTTGCCTCTCAATAACTTATTCCTTACCAGGTCTGAGGTTACACTAGAACTCGTATAGGATCTTATGAGAATTCAGGTTTTCTTGCCCTCTCACCTCCTAGCTATAGTTATTTTTACGTTGCTTTTGCTTTTAGAACTCTGTAGAGTATGTGGGATTGGAGGAAACAATATCCAACAGGAGAGTCACATACCTCCGGTGATGCCAAAGCTGCCAAAGTAGGAATTCCCTTATTTCCATCCCTTTTTTGATTAAAAATCAAGCATGATACTTTTATTTTTCTCTCTCTCTCTTTCTTTCTTTCTTTCTCTTTTTCTCTTTCTTGCCTCCTGTTTGATGTTTTTTTTATTTTTAGTTGTCTTGTTACATATAATAGTTCTTGCCTGTCTAATGATATAGCTAAAGACACCCTCAAACATGTGAGAATCCTCACATACAATATACTTATTTCCTTCTCCTAGAGTTCAAGTGCTGATTCAATCATCAGTATTTTAAGAAAGACCCAATCTTTACCAAAAGAGACATCAAGGTTATATATACATTTTAGTATACATATTTTGTTCCTTGGACATATAACATATGCACCTCAGTCCTTTTGAATATTTTCTTTTCTTTTTCCTACCACAGAAATTTATTCTCATCAGAAATACCATTTCTTTAGCCTCTCAGGGAGCTTGTTCAGGGAACTTCTCAGTAAATCATAGTCCTAGAAAGTCCAGGGTATCTTTGCTTAAGGTTTTCAGCATCTTTCCTGTAGTGTAGTGACGTTTAGGTCAGGGAAGTAAGCTACATCCGTCTTTGGCTAGATTTAGATCAGCAAACTTGGGAGAGTACAGGCTACAGGACTCCTGCAAGGAGCTTTAATGGGGTCACTATAGATCAAGGTATTCTGACTTTATTATTTGTTTCATACCTGTTTTTGACTTCTAATCAAATATGTAGATACACATGCAGCATAGAATTTAAGATAACATTTAAAAGTTATTTGAATTATTGTTAAATAAAAGAATGGCTTGCATTTTCGGCTGTAAGGTATGGTACAGATGTCAGCAGTTTCTGTTATCATCTTTATGCCTGAATTGCATTTGTTCCTAAATGATCTGTAAATAAAGTCTGCCTCTTAAGGATACTGTGAACTCAAGACTTTATTTACAAATACTTACTAAGTGTCTAAAAGATAACGAAGATGCAAAGATAAGTAAAGAGACAATACAGTTGCTACCATCTTTTATTTATACTTTATTCAAAGAAAAGATCCATTAGAAGGCAAAATGTTAGCGAATGAGGAAGAGGGGCAGCTAATTCCTTACAGGTGAGATAGTGGAAAGGGGAAGCAAGTCAAGAAGATTTTAAACTTTAAGGTTTTGGAGAAAAGATTTAAGGACACAGCATCTTGAAATATTTAGTGATACCATGTCAATAAGCAAGAAAACTATTTTAAGAACAGGAAAATGCTTTCCCAGATCAAGGAGTTATATAGAATATGATAAATAAGTGATTTTTCTTGACTTGAATGTTTTGGGAACTCCATGTCCAACAGTCCAGTAGGTCAGTTGAAAGGGAGTGACTTGTGTAGTGGAGAAGAGAATATGAGACTTACTATGGTGAGTGTCATGCTGATGGTTTTGGAAGTGCAGATTAGCAAAGAACTGGCAGGAGCTGGTAGGATGCTAGCTATCTGGCTCCAATGCCAAGGATTCATTTTAGTTGCCCCCTCCCCCTGCCATACACACACACTCATGATAGATAGACTACCATGGAAGAACAATATTCAGTAGGGAAGTGGAGGATGAAGAAGTTAAAAATAAAAGGATGAGTTATTGGAAAAGAACACTCAGTAAGTAAACACACTTAAAAAAATCAAACAAACTATGAAGCTTGTTTGTTAGGCCTAACTCAGAGTACAAGGAGGCTGTGATTTTATCAATACATGAGTGCTCTTGAGAAGAACTGATGGTACCATCAACAGTCATTCCAAAATAAAACTACTAGCAGTACTTACAGGATCACCCAAGCCATCTCTGCATGTCTAAGTTTGAGGCTGGTGTCCCCTATATGTGACAAACACCCCATGTGAAGAAATGGGTATAGGGTCTGAGGATGAAGCCACTAAACATAATAGGGAGATCATGGTCATATATCCATCTCAGAAGGTGGGGTTCTGGGGAGGACATGCATTTTGTGGACTATGTAGGTTCTACTTTGAAGAAGACACAATGCTCTGCTATATTCTGTCATGAAGGCATCAATTAAAATTATACAAACACTTTTACATTAGTCTTCTGATTCAACGTTACCTCTTTAATTTCTGTATTTCAGAAATTTCAGACTTCAGTGACAACTGTGTATCTAGTACTTATTAATGGGGAGAGATGCTGCAAATCAGATGGCAGAAAGTAAGGGGTGAGGGGGAAATGCAAGAGAATAGGGAACAGAGATGACAGTTTTGAGAAAATAAGGAGTGAATTAAAGCGGGGACACAGACATGAAAAGTTGGGCACCTTTATGGAAAGGTAACTTTAGAAAAAAAAGACAACTAACTTATCTTCTGTAAAGGTCATGAGAAAATTAATGGTCTCAAATGATGGAGTAAATCTTAGTCAAGAAGCCAGAAGCTTCCCCTTTCCTTCCAGAATCAGAGACCTATAATGTACTTGTGTCAAGGTGGCCACTGCTAACAAAGAGTAAATATTGCTTGACAATTTTTAGCATAATCTAAAAGGTGAATAATGACAAGAGCAGAAATTTTAGTTGATCTTAAATTGATTAGGCATTCATGAAAGACAAAAAAAAAAAAAAAAAAAAAAAATTGCAGGCACCAAACCTAATGATGCAATTTTGCCTAAGGGAGTTGCTGAAGAAATGTTCATCTTCTTGTGGGACCACTCCTAAAATCTTAAATTAGACAGACATAAGAAGTACACGGGGAGTGTTTCACATGTGTGTTTTGTTTGAGTAGCTTGTGTAAGACAAACTTAAATATCTACAAGGCTCTTTGGCCTGGATACTTCAGAGCCTGCCTGATGGGTGGCTAATTCTTTCTTCTTGGTCTTTTTTTACCTGTTTGTGATAAAAGTATTGTATCTAAACGAGAATACCATAAAGAAATGGAAGGTCTATTCAAATAGTTCTGAACACCAAATGCCATCCACAACACAATGAAGAGATGTGTCTTTAACAATGTATGTGTTTGCTGATTCACCTGAAATCTTTACCGGTAGAGGGGGCAATAGGGATGCCTCAGGCCTTGAATTCTAGTTCTCACACGATCAGAGTGTGGGTAGGAGGGAAGTGATCAAAAATCATGTAAGAATTAGTTGATGGGAAAGGAGTGTAATGGATTATTTATTTATTTATTTATTTATTTATTTATTTATTTATTTGTGTGTATGTGTGTGTGTGTTTGGGGGAGTGGAGGCTTACTGGAGAATGTTTTCAAACCTTTCAGCATGTTTGAAATCTCTCTCTCAGATAACCAAGTAGGAAGCATAGGTATAATGATATTTCAGATCTAAGAGAGGGACGGTGATGGCAGAGGTAAAATTGAGGGTGCTGGACTCAGTAGAAGGGATCAGAACTTTCTACGGTAAAGGAAAGGGGAGTAAAACCAAAAGGCCCAGGGACCATGCACCACAAGATTCCCCTGGCTTTGAGTTTATCTTACAGCCCTTGCTCTAGCACCATGTATACAGTATGCAGTAAATAAATACTCTTGATAGACTACATTTCAGAAGACAAGTTCTGCTTTTAATATCAATCATGTGAGCATGCAACATTGCTAAATACAAAAGTCATAGAAGCTCACAATGACTTCAAAGGCTGCCAGTCAAAGAACAATACTGGGCTTCTAAGACATCATCAATTATGGATCCTTCCTTGTTTTTATTTAATGACTACACATTTTCTCCTTACTATTGCAGGATTAACTCAGAAGCTCGCTGCCCAACAGTTACATATTTTCTTTTCTTTTATTGGTTCTATTATTATTATTTCCTCTGAGAAGAAATAGAAATTCCATTCATTTTCTAAAATGTTGCCTGGCTGCCATGTCCGAGGAAGACTCGGGGCGGGGGGGGGTAGGGTAGAGCATCAACAGTGGACTACTATGTTGGTATTTCCTGAAAAATGAATGTCATGATTTCTTTTACAAAGTAGAGAGCATATCTGTGAACTTGGGATGAACATGCATGGACATAAAATGCTCTCAGTTGGAAAAAGGTAAATACAACAACTTGTCACTCATTGTCAATGTTTCAAAAACAGAAATCTTTGTGTTTCTTGGTAATTAAATAAAAAGCATAGGATATTGATACACATTCACAACATAAACCTTTGTAAACTTTCAGTTTACATGTCAGAAGTAAACTCTCAAAATAAGGTATAATTAAATATTAAAAACCCATAAAACAAAAATAAAGGTGGGTTTAGCCAGATGTGTCATTGACCCATTGTCAAATCACAAGAAAGGCAAGTCCCTATTGAAACTCACATTCCTTCTCTGTAAAATGCAAGCTGAAGGAGGGCTTTGCTAACATTTTCTATACAGGGAAATATGCTGTGAAGTTAGCTTTAATTTTATGATATGTGGAATCAAAATTCTGTTGATAGATAAACATGGGCTCAAATTAGCTTTCTAATCTTGTAAAAAGTAGTCCTTATTCATATTCACGTCCCAGTGTGTAAAGGGGAGAAACATTGAATTCTAAATGGTGTGTTTGAAGAGTTGAAAGAAAGGGTTCCGAAGTGACTCAGTTGGGATAGTTAACAAACACTTGTTTGGGTTATCTCCTCTTCCAGCTGTCGTTACAGATCCATTCGTATTATTACTTTAGTTGCAAATAGCAGATATTAAAATAAAAGTAGGAGATTCTATGCACTTTTGCCAAGAAAAATTGATAAAATGTGGGAGATCGAGAATGATTTTTTTTTCTTTCTCAGTGTGAGAATACCTCTGTATTTGAATACAGTATACAAGGTAGTAGTAAGAGGCCAAACCAAATCAAAAGCTCCATATGACTTCTCCATTTAGCACTACTTCTATATTTGAAGACAAGCGTGGCACCACATGCATTGGTAATAGTATATCGCACAGGGATATAAGCCTTCCACATAGACTCAGCACTGGTTTTAAACTTTACAAAACACACGTGAAATCAGTTTGGAATTCTACAACTTTAAGAATGAACTTCATATTCACAAGAAAGCTATAAGGATAATTAAACAAGGACTTCGAAAACTGTTGAATGTTTTAAATAGATTATCAAAGATTGTCTAAACAGGCCCGAAAGCTTCTAACAACATGTTTGAGTCTATCTATGGGTAGATTTGTTTCCCTCCTAACTAGCCTCCAATGAGTTAGATCAAAGCCAGGCATCCCATACTTAAATCTATTTGCTGTTCTATATCCAGAAAGACATATTTAATATTCCTTGTTTTTCTGGAAAACTTCCAGTTGGGGACTGAATGAGACTCATGTACTCCCAGTCAGTAAACAATGCACTGTAAAGGAAGATGTGAGCAGGTATCACTTCCACCTTGTGAGTTAACTACAGAGACAGGCTAAGTTCCTATCACATCCATGGACTGTGTTGAAACACTGCTCTTTCTTTAACCTGGAACTGTAGCTATGCCTTCCAGGAAACTTAGGGGATCTTTTGTTGCAAAGGTCTTCTGTCGTCTGTTATTTGTCCCACAATTCATGAACCCTGGACATCTTACTGGGTCCTTATTTACTACCACAGATAGTTGGTTTCATAATACTGACCAGAAGAGTTACATAGGCCACAGAAATTTTCCATACAAGAATCATGATGTCAAAACACACCATAGACCATCAACAGCATCAGTAAAAGTGTGGTTAGGAGATAATTATTGTATCAGAATGCAATTTACACTAACATTAGTAAAAGTTTACAAACATTAAAAAGTGCATAATAACAGCTGGATATGAAAGGGCTGAAAAAGGACATGGTGGAACACAACACAAACGCTTCATGTTTTGGACTATTAACCACAGGGTTGGAAGAAGAGTACTTTCTTCCAAGCCATCCTCCAGATTTAAACAGTGGCACACATTGGCATGAGAAAACTGATCCACAGAGCACAGTATTTTCAGTTATTAGTTTTGCCTGGCTTTTTTTCTACCTTCTCAATTTCTTTTCTTTTTCTTAATTTTTTTTTCCAAGACAGGGTTTCTCTGTGTACCTTTGGAGCCTATCCTGGCACTAGCTCTGGAGACCAGGCTGGCCTCGAAATCACAGAGATCCACCTGTACCTTCTCAATTTTTGAAAGTTCTTATTATGAAAAATTAGAATATTAGTTGAAATATTTATTTCTTATTTAGAAATAAGATCAATATTGATAGAATTCTTGTTTGTGCAGATACCGAGAAGACTGAACTCAGGCAATATTCACATTAATGGATATTTCCAAATGCCTGTGTAATAAAGCAAAGGGGTCTCGGTGAATCTGGTGGACTTAACCGTCAGCACACAGTTTTTAAGAGGAAAGTAGTGTTTTACAAAAGTATGTTCTTCCCGTGCACGCCACAACACTATGGGAAATTAAAAAGGCAGCCCTTTAAAAAATGAATGGTATAAAAATTCACAGTAATGTACATCATTTTCTTTTACACAAGCAATCAAAGGGCAGTGCTGAGCAGGTATACTGTACGATACAAAACAGTGTAAATAACACAGCACTAACACACAGGGACAGAACGCTAACAGTGCTCTCTGGATGGTTCTTTTACTGGGTGAATACTCCAGCCAGAGATAATGAAACTCTGGGGTTCAACCAACCCTTTTCAATTAGACACAATTAAATACTCTGACATCATGAGGGGCCAGATGCTACAGGAATCATCAGTGAGGTTGGTGCTACTCTCTACAAGCATTTCATTACACGGTCAAGTGAAAGGACCCATACAAAAATGATATCCAAGCACAGGCTAGGCGATTTCAACCATTGCTATTGACAGAGGTAGGGAAAAGGCTGTCTGCAGACACAGGCTCTGCCCTCACTTTTAACATGGCAGCGAACAGCTTCTTGCCATGCAGCACAGCCATTTTCTTCTCCTCCTTTTCACTCATGGCAGCAAATACATCTGAGCAATTCCAGGAGATTCGCCACATTGTTAGGTGTTGTTGAAGGTCAGAATGAAGTGTTAGCTTTCAGATTTGGCGGCTTCTCCCTGTGCTTCCCCACTTTGTTCTGTGGAGCTTCTCTGTCCATTGTCTTCACCTTCTGTAAAAGACAATGAAAATAGAGAAGTTCATGTTTACTGACTCTTTGTGTATCACGTCAGAGACTTCAGACACATCCGCAGAGTCTGAACATGTTACAGACACAAGTGTGCTTTCTTGATAGTGCATGATGAATAGAATAGTGTGAGAGCTCAGAGCCTGGCAGTTTCTGTGACATCAGAACAAAAGCCAGAAACAAATAACTTGTGAAAGGTTCAGTTGTCAATGACTGGCTGTGCATTTGATAAAGGAAATCTCATGGCCCAGCTCATGACTCTTTAATATGCTTTTATAGTCTACAGAAACCAGAGGAGGAATTGTGTCCTAACCTTCTAATTTGAACAAATACTTAAAATTTACCATTCCTGTTACTTATAGAATTTTAGGATCATCTACCTGGTTTCTCAAAATTCATAGTAACAATGGAAGACAGAGGGTTTTTTTTTTTTTTTTTTTTTTTTTTTTTTTTTTGTTAGTTGGTCAGTCTCTTGTCCAACAGTTTGCCAGTTTGCTGCTCTCTGATCTGTCCTAACCAAAGGAAGGGAATAAGATTCAGGCAGATAACAGAGTGTAGACTAATGAAGGATGAAAGTAACTGCATAAATACACAGTGAGGACTCTAACTGTGAGGATGAATGGGGTAGCCGGGTGTTTGAAGATATTGCTCAGGATTTAGCATTACACTGCAAACAGACATTGATAAATGATGCTTGTTAACTAATAAAGAATTAGTGATATTGCTAAGTATATGTTACAAGAAAATAGAGACAGAAGTGATGAAGGAAGTCCCTCCAAATCCTCAGAGGTATTAAAATTGTTGTTCTGTATGTCATGTTTTATGGTTTGGACTTTCATGTTGATAATTAGTATTTCTTCCTTGCATGGAGAATGGTGAAGTCAGGGCTGTTATCAGCTTGCCTAGTTTGAGACGTAATGATTTGAAGAGAAACTAAAACATTCACGAGGGCTTAGATAATTATAATTAGAATGCAGAGTTGTTTAGAAAAGAAGATACGTTAGGACCAGCAATATAGTGAAAAATTTTCAAATTAAATATTTATAAACTATTTAGTACAGTCTATTTTACTTTTTGTATTTGTGAACATAAATCTTAATACTATTAAAATTACTTATAGTAATTTAGTATGTTCTCTTGCATAAAAATATCTTGAAGCTAGCAATTCTCAATGGAAAGAAAAAAACCGAAGAAACTGCTCCATGGATCAAAAGTCCCAATTTTAAGGTTTCTTGAAATTCTTTTAAAATTCAAGATTAGTGTAAAAATTAAAATATTTATCAATGAAACGAAATTGGCAAAATTTCTAAACCATGGGAAATATATATTTACTCATTTCATGGTAGTAGAATTAAATAATGCCCTATAGTCTTTCTCTAAATTGCTTTGAGAATTTCGTACAATAGTAACAAGGAAACAATGAGCCCTAGAATATGAGTCCGTGCAGTCCAAAGCCAAGCTGTCAACATGTGTCATTAATCTAAAATTGAAAGGGTGTGTATGATATACTGACCTTTAATAGTTGAACAAAATTCATTATTTTTAAAACCACATACATAAATTTTCTAACAATCTAAAAGCTTTCACACATACATTCTTAGAGTGAAGCCATATTGAACATTACAGAGATAGAAACTGTGAGCTCTTTTTATGTATATAACACTGTAGTTCCTTGGCTGTGAATTCTTTTCATACTTAATAATTATTTTGTGTAAGTCTTCTTAATAAATTTGATGAAGCTATGGGTCGTGGAATTAATAAAGAACTGATTTTAATACTCAGAATTAAGGCAATCAAATATTTCAATATATTAAAATATTTCTTTTTCACTAGTATAAGTAAGTACTAAGGTAATTTTTCACACAAAATCATTCAATTACAAAAATTTAAAAAACAATTCATCTAAGAAGTATTTACATAAACTTTTAAATTTCCATTCTCAATGAAAATGGTTCTAAGTTACTTCTTTTGAAATGATTCCTTGAAGTAAGGTCTGCCTGATTCATTGTGAATCTTTTTAAGAATGTATGAAATGTAGGAGATAGCCAGAGTTATTCATGGCAGGAATCTTAACTTTATTAAGTCTTCTCCATAAGCAATTTCAAAGCTTTTGTAGATACTGAGATTTTGATCATGTGTTTTTATTTTTCAATGTGTGCAGGGAACCTTGGCAAGAGAAGTCACTGAAAAAAGGAGGGATAAAGGACTTAAACAGAGACTTTCATCTTGTCTGAACTTTTTTTAATTGTGTCATTTGATTTCAAAAGAAGGTGTGTGTGTGTGTGTGTGTGTGTGTGTGTGTGTGTGTGTGTGTGTGTGTTCTAATCTCATGT